ATTTTAACAATAAAGAGAGAAAACGAAAACACGATTTCATGCAGAATGAAATTGAAATGAGCGAAGAAACTACTTCAGAATCCCAGGATGACACTGATCTTCATCCACGAAAAATAAAGCGAAAAAATGGAAAACCAAATGTTGTACATGTTAAATCTATCGAAGATAATTTGAAGATTGCTCCGGGAGAACGGGTAATGGGCCGATTCTTTACTCCCGAGCAATTGTATTTTCGAGTTACAGACCAGAGCAAAGTGTTTTCCGGGAGAATACCTCTGGGTGGTAAGAGCAATTACGCTTTCTTTGTAAACAATTCGAGAGGAATATCCAACACGAGGAATTTTGTTGTTGATGACTGCGGAGTCTGGGATAGCAAAAAGTCAGGCTCAATCAGATCTATATATTACATAAAAAACGGAAAATTTTGTCATATCAGGCAAAAAATGGGGAAGTACTTTAAACACCTGGCTGACGATGATTTAGTGGTTCTTTACAGATATTATTCATGCTTGAGAAGATGTCCAGAATTCAAAAGACGAGTATCTTGGTTTGACACATTTCAAGGTACGAAAGTTGGTGCGTCAAAAACAGTGGTAGAGTATATGGGATCACAACCATCAACACCGTCTCACTACGCGAATATTCCTGGTAGAGAGTATGTTCGCACGCCGAAACATGTCACAGAAACAATCGACGAAAGGTTACGTTGCAACGAACCAACCAGAAAAATTTACCGAGAAATGGTGTTAAATGATTCGACATCGTCGCCACGCGACTTCAAACAAGTTCGCAACAGAAAAATGAAACTCAACAAAGGAGAGAACTCTAAAAGTACAAAATATAATATTGCCGATGAAGTTCTAGATGTACTAAACATGATAAACACAAATCCTTATGTGAAAGAAATTATACTGACCCCTGAAAAACCGCCAAGTATAATTTTGTATACGGGATATCAATTGGCGGATTTGCAATCTATATCCATTCAGTCATCTGACCAAACAATTATAGGAGTAGATCGAACATTCAACATAGCAGCATGCTATGCCACTACTATTGTATTTAAACACTACAAGGTAATAAAAAATGACACGGACGATAGCCCAATTTTTTTGGGACCTGTTTATCTACATTGGGATGCAAGCTTTGAAACTTACTGCCGATTATTTTCGCATTTGAGTGCTAGATTTTCTAACTCGCAGTTTACTTCTGAAATTCGTATAAATATTGGAAGCGACAATGAAAAAGCTCTAACGAAAGCAATAGATCACTGCTTTCCCAATGCTAATAGATTTCTATGTACAAAACATCTAAAGGAAAACCTACGGCACCATCTTCGAGAAAAAACAATTCTGTCCTCAAAACAGAGATCCGAAGTGTACGACTTGTTTTTTTCCGAAAACGGCGTCGTCTTTGCTGATTCATTAAAAACATTCAACAATAAAGTGGAGATTATAAACAATAAGATTGCTGATCATGAAGACCTGCAGAAATATTTATCAGAGAATTTTTTGCCAGCACTTAAAGAGTTTGTAATCAAGCCGCTTAGAATGAAACCTTTAGAAAAACTGTGGACTAACAATAATTGTGAAAGTATCAACAATATTATAAAGCTAGATTTGCAGTGGAAACCACATAAATTGCCAGATTTGATAAGACACTTTCAAAATGCTGTCAACCTTCAATACGCAGACTTGAAGTTGGCAATTCATGGGAAAGGTAATTATTCGTTAACAGGATCTTACCAAAAGCATCTCAAAACTCATGCAGTGTGGTGCTCGATGATCGTTGAGGAAAAAGACAAAGCGTTTGAGAAGTTTATGAAAGAAAGAATTCGCACGCAAGAAAATTTCACCCCTATAAAAACAACAAAATTCAGTATAACTAAATTTAGAACAGCCACTGTCCGAGGAATTGCGAGGAAACCGGGCCAGAAGCGTAGACCTCGATCAGAAAAAGTTAGAAGTAAATTATCGAAATTTGGAAAAAAAATTAACAAGTTATAAACTATTCGCGTTTTAAAGTTTCGTTTGCTGAATGATTTACTTATTCACAATTTCATTGTCAAATTTATTATGTATTGTGACGACATACTATTTAGTATATTTTGTTGAAGTTTCTCTTCACAAAAATATCTTCGATTTTGCTTAGTAGTGTGCACATATTTCGTTTTTTTAGGTTGTTGAAGATTGCTGATGTAAACTCGTGATTGTTTCCTACTGTACTGTTAAAATTTCACTGACGTTAATAAATAATAATAAAAAAAATGTTGTGTTTCCTGGATGCATATAGTCGAGACTTTCGAGAGTGATTAATAATTTCACTTAAAGGTTCTTATCAAATGCGCCGCGTTATAAAAATAAAATGCCTCATCATCCTAAGGCGCTGCAAATACAATATACAGTTTCATTTATAATCTTGATATCGGCGTGGATCGTAATATGATGTTTATCGTGTGGAACTACTAAAAATATTCCCGAATATAAACTTTAATCAGTATGTTCTAAAAACCGCGCAAAATTGTTGAAACCGGGCATAAATGAGGACATTCTCCAGCGTTTTGCATATTTTGCACAGTCATGCGATGAAGAATAACATTATATTATAACACATAAAACAAAATAATCGGAAATTGACTGTCGTAGAAATGTGATTTATATACTACTAATTTTTCTTGTAGCATTGTGCTTTACCTATTTGAGGGTGATCAAAAAAAGCGAAATTGGTTGTTTTGTATCGTGCATTCATAAAAAGAGCGAGCCATTGTATTCAGGCGTATATTGCAAAATATTTGACATTCAATGCTTTTATTTACAGTCGTAAAAATAGCATTTTTTGACATTTAAATATTTATATGCCTTTCTGATAAACAGACACGAATAATTCGTACAATGTAGGTTCATATATTTGTAGACGGCGCGATATACATTACTTTTTTATTATAAGAACAAGAAGTAAGTCCTTGATTATTTACCGTTTTCAGATTCAGATATTTCATTTCGTCATTCATAAAACATTGTAAACAAATAACGAGAATATCGGTCGGAGACGGAAGACATATCGATCGAATTGAAACTGCGGTTTCAATTTATGACTCCATAGTGACACCGCGTGTCCATCACTAATTAATTAATAACTCGCTAATTATACGACATAATTCATCCAAAATCAATTGGCTTCTGGTCCGAGATATGATGAAAATGCACATGCAAAATTTGTAGCAGATTTAACCTCGCCTGCGTGAGGTATCGCGTTCATCTAACAGACAGACAGACAAATACCTATCAACATACCGATCTTGAGATCGCTAAGTAATAAGACGGTGTGGCTCATCGTTCTAAGTGTCAGGAATACACTCGCCTCCGCACCGCATTACTCTGTGTGGGAAATGGCATTAAACAACGTTGTTTAATGTCATTGGCGTGGGTTCACAGGTTCGAATCCCATGCGGGTATAGTGCGAAAGGATTGCTGGACTCCTCGCCGCCGTAGGGTGGTTCACCTAACCCTGATCGGTTGGTTACGGTTTCCTCCGTCATCAAGTCCATGTTTCCGAAAATAAATACAGTAACTATCAAGTATCTTTTCCCCTCTGTTTTGCGCCGTTTTTCTTTGATTTGCGCCGTTTTCCTCTGTTTTGCGCTGTTTTCCTCTGTTTCCCTCTGTTTTGCGCTGTTTCCCCACTGTTTTGCGCTGTTTCCCTCTGTTTTGCGGTGTTTCGCGCTGTTTTGCGCTGTTTCGCGCTGTTTTGCGCTCTTTGCGGTGTTTCGCGCTGTATTCAGTAAGTAGTAAGACCGCGTGGATGATGGAACAGAGTGTAGAAAAGATGGGACCATTGCACCTGTTGGAATGGCTGAATGGTGATCGTTCGTGGAATGATTTTAAACTGAACTAACCGAAAACGACAAAAGAACCAAACACCCCAATCCATGATTTGTGCATAGACTGCTATGGAACATTCAATCCATTTACCAAGCTTGTTTTTTAGTAAAAAAATGAATAAAAAAATTTGTCACCGTGTTACTTTTGCAACGTAATTGAACTAGGCCTACAGCATCACCATTTTCCGGCAGCGAATGTTCTTTAATTCATCCATATATCTGTAGGAAAAGCACATACACGTCTCACATTCTGATTTATAAGATATTGCCCGATGTCACATCGTGTTTTTGTTTTATTGTGTTTTGACTGTTTTTTTTTGGGGGGGGGGGGGGGGGGCGGGCACGTACTTGTACGTATTTAACCATTAAACCTAACGTCCTAAAGGTCCTGTGTATTTTGTTTGCCCTTTGTTGTTGTTTTGTTTTTTGTTTGTATCAGAGTGACCAAATAAAATTGATTGATTGATTGATTGATATGTGTGATCGGGGTCGCGAGGGACCTGAGAAGGTCTTCAAGCAGCGACACCTACAGCGCTGCTACAGGTTAGAATAAAAAGTGACATGAATGAGGGATAAAATATATAAATCCCAAGAATGAGTCACAACTGATGCAAATACAGTAGTTGCGACATTAGAAATATTTGAGATTATGACACAGGGTAAAACTAGGAATATGTAACTATCTCGGAATAAATTTAACTAATAAGAATGCGCGCAAAGCAGAATAATAATACAAAAAAAAGAAGTTTCTTCTCTAGTGCTTTGGGTTAAGAGCATTCAGTGCTTCAAATATATGGAAAAAGTAATCTAGTGACAACAGATTTGTTTTCATCAAAAACACGGTACTTTTTAATGTGAGCTGATAATTTATTCTAGAACAAAAGGGGGTTTTTAAAAATTCAAACCCATTTTACACGCGCCAGATAGTACTTTTAAAATACGTATCAAAAATATCGCAATGATGAGGTTATATGAAACATCCAACGATCGGGTTTTAAATATACGCCCCATTTACACCCCTTCGATCAAATGTCCGATAGTAAACTTTACGGTTCAACGATTCGAACCATAATAACACCATATCTAATTCCTGTAATATTCATGTTGCGAAACTCGTCTGATATGATCTTATTGGTTTCGTCTTCCCCGGTATTAATATGTACCGGCAAATCCTATTAAAGTAATGTTATAATCTGATTAAATTTGGTATATAGGCCTACCTACGATGCCAGCATACCGGTATCGTATTTCTGTATTTGGGTCTTGATTTCAGATTTATTGTAGACATACTGCTGTACTGGCAGACTGGACTAGCATTTGATAAATACTGGAATTATATAGATCACAATGGTTTCATCTGGATGCCTATTACGAATGGTACGGTAAGTTTTCTAAACGTTTAGCCTATTTACCACTACACTTGTGTATCTTAATACAGTAATACAGTAATATTAGCACCGGCTGACGGGTCTCGTGTAGTTTCGTAGGTACCTAACGTACGGTACGGTACTTCTAGTAGGCGTAGCATGAAAATCTTTTGACATGTTAATCCTAACCCTCGCCTGACTACGCCATCCAAAAATTACGTCACTACGACGTCACGTCATAGAGCTTGCCAAATACTCCTACGATTGCCCGAAATAGCATCGGCGCTGACAATAAAGAACTGATTAACGTCAGCGATCTCTCTCCTATCGGGACTGGTGCGACAAGAAGGGTCTGGTATAGTTTAGTATCACATGTACTTCTAGTTGAGCTGGCTCAACAATTTTTGAATATGTCAATCCTAACCCCCACCTGACTACGTCACCGAAAAATTACACGTCATTTTGTCGTCACAGTGGCGTCATAAGGCCCACCGAAGTATGCGGATGGTCGTCCAAAACGCGCAGACGATCACCCGAAATCGAGCAAGCAATTTCTCTCGTTTTCTCGTCACAACGATCACGATAGGAGAGAGATCGCCGGCTTTAGCAAGTTCGTTATCGGCGGCGCAGATGACATTTCGGGCGATCGTAATTATACTTTAGCAATCGCTATGACGTGATGGTGACGTCGTAGTGACGTAATTTTTGGATGGCATAGTCAGGTGGGTGTTGGGAATAGCATATGCAAAATTCGTTATGCTACGCCCACTGTTAGTACTGGTGGTACTGAACTATACTAGACCCGACGAGAAAACGAGAGAAATGACTGTTCGATTTCGGGTTCTCGTCTGCGCGTCTTGGATGACAGTTCGCATAGTTTGAAGGGCTCTATTACGTCACTGTGACGTCGTAGTGACGTAATTTTTGGATGGTGTGGTCAGGTGGGGGTTAGGATTGACACGTGAAAAAATTGTTATGCTACGCCTACTAGAAGTACGTTAGGTACGAAACTACATGAGACCCCTGGCTGACTGTCTGACCGCACTCGTGTACAGCTACCCAGGTAGAGTATCATAGTATTGCTGTACTCCGGTACTGCGTTTATCTAATATTTCTTTCTCATTTTGTCGTGCTTATTTACAACATTGTTGGTCACTGGTTGTTCAGAGTTTATGCATGTAAGCATATGTAGGCCTACTACCAGACTACTGTAATAATTAACCGGTTACTGGGTTACAGAGTTATGTTAACTGTTAACATACTCGACCTGGAATGGAAAACAAAAAAGAACCATGGCAGCATGGTTTGTAATATAGATAGAAAGAGAGATTTATTTTTGTCAACCAGAAAAAATAACAGTCATAACAATAAAAAATGGTCACAAAAACAGTTTTTCGGTATAGACTGGCTGACTGGAAGGAGCGATACGACCATGTCCAGATGTCCATGCAGTCATCGGAGTCAGGTTCCTGTCATATTAGAGCATTAGCCAACCTACAGACCTATCCTGTCCAGCTGACCCAACTCAAAATATTTTCGGTCAAAATATATAACGATCTGCCAGTACCAGTAATCCAGTAGGCTATGTTGGTATATAAACAATAATATAACACTGTTTGCATAGGTTTCTATTTTTTGAAACACAACATATATTTGTACAGCTGTATGTAAACATATTGTAATATATGTAATATTTCTGTGTTCAAAGATTTCACGAACCGCGGGTAGAAGCGGGCGCTGCTCATGCCTTTTTTCATTGAATGCACAATATTTTCCGAGGCGTGCATCCAGAACACTCTCAAATGAAATCAACACCAGTCGTCCTGCAAGTTCCATAGCAAAGAAAATTTTATACACAACATTCGGTCTTTCTCCAGTTATTGGAGCTGTTGGATATTATGTGCAAAACACTGGATTAAAAAAAATTAAAGTTTCCACTGTTGGACTTGTTAGATTCGGTCGGTCCATTCATGCAGGACTTTTAATTTCAATAGACTATTGGTGGACAATACACGTTACATTGAGAAATATAGATGAAGTGAGTTGAATGCTGCAATATTATTGTTTGATTTCAAGTGCAGTGGAAGCTTTTTTGATAACTTAGACCAGTGGTTCTCAAACTTTTTATGCTGCGCCCTCTTGTTAGAATTTGTCAAGTCTCGCACCTCACTTCATTAAAATTAGGTGGATTGAACGTAAATATCCAAAATGAGGAAATTTAAACATCCAAAAAAAGGGTGGCAATATCAATCTAACAAATATTTTCAATTTGCTCCACGGCCCTCAAAAAATCGTCTACGTCCCCTTGTGGGGCGTGCCTTATTTTTTTGAGAATCACTGACCTAGCCTTTTTTTGCATTAAAAACAATGTAAGCACATGCGCCGTGCAGTGTATGGTATGTTATTTTGACATAGTTTTTTAATTTTTGAAAATAACTGAGGTGATAGAAATTAGGGAGAAATTTAATAAAAGATAATTAATTTAATACTGTTTCTTGCTCAGGAAAGTACTCATTTCAACAAAGTATTGAAATTATGTCATCAACGTGCTGCAGATCGAATGTACAAATCTGCGCTAATGAATGGAGGACTTTATGTAAAACTAGGTCAAGGTTTATGCTCTTTTAATCAACTTCTACCTCAAGAATACACAGATACACTCAGACCTCTTGAAGACAAGGTTTATATTTATATACTTTGAATGAACATTTTTTATTGTATCTTTTTTAATGTATAAATTTGAATGTCAATCATTTCTGCAGGCTCTTGCATATCTTCGTAATGATATTTATGAACTGTTTGAACAAGAATTTCAATGTGCACCTGATGATATGTTTGATAAGTTTGATGCTGAACCTGTGGCCGCTGCAAGTTTAGCTCTTGTATTCAAAGCCACTACAAAAGAAGGAAAAAGAGTGGCAGTTAAGGTTTGTTGAAAAGATTATTTTTTTCTTCATTTCTCATACTGGAGGTGAACTCAAGACTGACATTGTTTTTTTCATTATTATAATGCATTTTGGAAATTATGACTGTTTTATAGGCTCAATATATTGATCTACAAGACAGATTTGATGGGGATATTTGGTGTGTGGAAGTTTTATTAAAAATAATTGAGTGGATGCATCCAGATTTTGGTTTCAGTTGGGTTCTACAGGTAGGTGTAGAAATTCACAATATCAGAAAATCCATGTGCACTTAAAATTGTTTCAATCTTTCTTCACAATATGATATGAAATCTTTGTTTCAAATTCTCCAGAATTTTGATCAAGTTTTTCAAAAATCTAGTCGAAATCAGAATTTTAGTTAAAATATTTTTTAGTCTGAAGTAAAAGTTTGTTTACTTTGGTTTTTGGTTTACATTTTTGCCAACTCATCTGCATCATATCCTATCTGGATTATTTTAGGAAATGAAAGGAACACTCGCAGAAGAACTTGACTTTATAAATGAAGCAAACAACAGTGAAAAATGTAAAAAGGATTTTAAAAAATTTCCATTTATTACTGTACCTGCAATACATTGGGATAAAACTACAAAGGTGGATATACTATACATTTGTACTGCTTCTGTATTATGTCTGTTTGCTTAGCATGGCTTTTGTATTTTTGCTCATATGAAATCTTTCTGTCATCCATTTATGTCTTGATCATTTCAGAGAATAATGACCGCAGATTGGTATGATGGATGCAAGATCAATGATTTGCAAGGAATATTGGACATGGGTCTTCAACCAAAAGATGTAGATTTTCCTAGTGAAGTTATAAATCATTTTGCTGTACTGATTGCTTAACTTTCACGAACTTGTCCTTCCTAGAAAACTTTTCAGATGTGGTACTTTGTTAGCTGTGAGCTCTCATCCATTACCTCTCTGATGTACCTGCCTCCGTAGACAAAAAAATTAATTGCATATATATCGGGTTATATTTCAGCACTTCATATGTCCTCATTAATCTATATCTCGCAGCAGATCTTGACATTCGAGTGTGTTCCTTGTAGCTTTACTCAGTTTATCCGTTCATGAGTTAATAAAACTGATGGAATGTTAGATTGAAGAAAATATATAAATATATATTTTCCATAAAGTGAATCTGCTCCAAATATCATTAACAACGATTTTTTACATTAAATCTTTATGATACTGTTACCGATCCACCGGATATCATCATTACTGCATGCTAAACATGAGTTACCGGTATTCTATTTACAGGCTGCTAAGAAACTAATAACAGCTTTTGGGGAACAAATTTTTGGAACTGGTTTCATTCATGGAGATCCGCATCCCGGGAATGGTAATTATCTTTAATTCCTGATTTTCAGATTCAATGTTTATCTATTAAGTGCCACATAGCACTTTCAATAGGCCATTAGGTGTTAACTAGCGTGTTTTTATATTGATGTCTTCATAGAAGTGGACTATTAGTGACCTTTTGATATGATTACCTAATTGACTTTGTTTATCGATAATGATCAATTGCCAGATTATTTAAAATTTTATAACATTTTGCAATGTGCATTTGAAATAAACAGCTAAAGTATTTCCATTTTATCTGATCTGTGCTTGCAACATGTCTGCGCTCACATACACTCAAGATGTAAACACATAAACTGAAAAGAAGCTGGTCTTATGAATCTGTGCGACTTCCTGACCAATAATCGCTGATTTTTTGAAATATCTGGGTGGGTCTATGTAGTTAAATTAGTTTTCAAATGTTCGAAAATTTTACTACAGCAAATTACTTCTGTTCCATCATATGTGGGATAATATAAATTTACATCAAAATAGCAATCGTCACCTTGAAAGTCTGATGAGGTTGTAACTCATTTGGGTGCTTTCAGCAGAACACAAAAATAACCATCAGTCTTGCATCTGAACCTCTCAAATACATTATAAAGTTCAATCAGCGATAATGACAAGTACAACATTATAACACCCCGCTGTGACCCACTTTTCAGTCTTTCAAATGACCACCAAACCCACATTTTCAACGATACTGAGGCTGATTTTTTAAAGATGTCACCCCAAGTCTATTTGTTCAAATTAGTTCTGCTATTTTAAATACTTGCTTAAATTAACATGTTTTTTTGCTCGTTGAGTTTTTTTTGCTCGTTGAGTTATCTCTGCTCAAGTTGAGTCACTAAGTCTCCCTAACACACTAGCTTGCTATATGGTAGCAACTATTGAAGTTTGTCAACCACAAGCCTCTGTTGTGAGTTGTGATTACAAATTACTATTTTAAAGCAGAACTTCAATTTTATTTCAGTTCTTGTAACGAAAAGCAATGAAGATCCAAACAGAGTTCAGTTGATTGTACTTGATCATGGATTGTATGAAAAAATTTCAAAAGAGTAAGTCATTGTATATAACCCGGAATTTTGTATGAAGTTACTTACAACAGTGCAATCAATGGTGTGTTTGACATTGTTTGTTCTTGAGTAGCTTATCCACACCAGAAAAAGCACATCTTATGTTACCCACTTACCCTCCTTCAGAACCATTTTTGTGTGTAGATTTGCATCGATTCTAGTAGAGACCAATTGTGCATAACAATATATACTGGTTTTATATGATGGTGTCCACAACTTTTTTCAATTCCTCAATAGGGCCTACAGCACCTGATCAACATTTTTCAGTAGTCATTTTTCTTCATGAAAAATCTGTCAGCATGTTCTACTAGTCCAGTGGTTCTCAAACTTTTTAAGCCATGCCACGTCACAAGAAATAGGTGCATGGTAAATAATGAAATAAATGAAAATTTTCGAAATGAAAATATTCAAAATAAGGTGTCAAAATATTTTTATTTTTAATTAGGTTCAGGTCCCCTCAAAAAGTTGTCTACCTCCCTTGTGGGGCGCGTCTCACCGTTTGAGAACCACTGTTCTAGTCATTGTCCCTAGCTGATGATATCTGCATCTTTGATCGATATACGTTTGGTGATATTCCAATTGTTCTTGCTTCCTGGAGGTTCAGTTTTTTTGAGAAACTTGTCAATTTTTATCTAGAGATCAGATATCCCTGTGTAATCTATGGAAATCAATAATTTGGAAACAAGAAGATCAAATGAAAAAGTTTGCAATTGAACTTCAAATTCATGAAAAAGGTTTGAAATTTGCATTTATTAGTATTGAATTGCCTTATGAAGACCTGATATTTGACTGAGTTATTACATAATACAATGCTTTGATTCATTGTAAAACAATAAAAGCAACTTATTAAGGTGCAATTAAGATGCACACAATATGTATGTGACTTGCTTATTATTTGTATTTGAATACTTATTTCCAATTTATCTATTTGCATATATAATATATATTGTATATTTTCTGAATCTTTGAAGGCTTTATTTTCAAAACTCAGTTTACATTCAATACTGATATGTAAGAGGATATTTGTTGTAAATGGAAACTGGTATTTATCTGTAATATAATGTTATCAAGACATATATTGACATATTTCTTACTTTACAGATTTCATGTTATTCAGTGAAATGTTAATAATGAGGCCAATAAGATTAGACCATGATTTTAATCCTTCTGCACCTATGACAGATGCTGAGTATAAGTAAGTTTGTTTGATTCATTTTTGTTGTGTATCATGTCACTAAGATTACAACCCGACATGACTAAGATTGAATGATTCTCAAAACATTCTGAAATTATATTTTTGAATATGCAATATCAAATACTGCATTTCTTTGCATATAATTTGCACTTTCACAATTAATTTTAATTTAACAAATTAGGGGGAAATTTTTAGGATTAAATGACTAACACTTTACACATATATCAGTCTTATTTTGTATTAATGCTACACTGACGAATTATGTTGAACCAGATCTTACTTGTTTCGGTAGAAGCATACCAGTGTAAATTATTATTCTGCGGATTCCAATGGATTGATTTAGTGGTATTAACGGTAGCAACTAGCAACCATTCTTACCAACCCATTAACTCATGCTTTTCAATAACCAGTGATTATGGAGTGATAAGAACAACACTGTATGTTGATGGGCTCACTGCTGTCGTTTTTCTCGTTTCGCAGTATGCAGAAATCGATCATTTTGGTCATATTGCTTCACAACATATGCTCAAAATGAAGCTAGTCTGTACTTTGGATTGAACTTTATTAAGCGTTTTAGCAGGGTTAACATATATGGAAATCTATACATCTTCCATTTAAAGGCTCCGAATTTTTAATATAAAATGAGAGTGAAATACAGGCTGAATGGAAAATCTTATGAATGATTTTCCTTCTTATATTTATCAATGTTCTAATATTATTATTCATGGCAACTTTAAAACATCCTTTCATCTTCTCAGATATATGCAACAAATGGCTGCTGAAAGATTTGACAAAATAATGGGATGTCTTCGCAGAATGCCAAAGTCTATGATTCTTGTTTTTAGGTCAGTATGACTCAAAAATTATGATAAAAAAAAACAGATCTATTTAATTCAAGTCTTGTTGTGAGTACTAACAAACGTATCACTAAAAAGAAACATAAATGTATATTCAACTTTATTGCGATGGTAGGACTATGTGCATTGCGTACCATTCCAGGACTGATAAATATGGTTTTGATAACTAAGGAAATTGCTCGACAGTTTGATTTCATTACGTTCATTTTCCAACTCTCCTATCTCCTTATCATTATTCTAAGAATTATTATTGTTGAATGATATGAGAGTAGTGCAGACTCACTGAGCTCATTGAGTAGTTCACATAGATTCACTTTTTAATACGAATACATATGAATATATGGCCCAAGCACCATGGTCTTTTTGTACAGGAATTCTAGAAGCTCGTTCTTAAACAAGTTTTAAATGATTTTGGGAAAGTTAAATTCAATAGATCATATTGTTTGAATATATTGATTATTAGTTATATTATTGTGTTGGTTTCATATACATTCTTGTTCAAGTATTTGAGTTTTTATTAACACAACTAAATTTCAGGAATTTGAATACTGTGAGATGTATCAACCACACATTAGGATCACCAGCTGACCGATTTACAATATTAGCTCACTGGTAAGCCGAATAAACTATCAAATAATATCTTATCTCATTAATAGGCCCTAATTGCTGATCGTCTGCTGCAAAATATTAATATGGATCTCTATATCCACCTATATATAGGAGTTTTGGTACTCCCGAAGTATGTGAACCAAGATTGCAGACACCGGAATGTAGTATGTGTACCAGGTTAGGGTTAGACCATGATTTCAGGTACAAATACTACGGGAGTCAATTGCCTAGTCCCCGAAGTCGTAATAGAACTGGAATAAAGAAAATTGGAATGAAATTATGGACTAACTTGGTACACTTACTACGTTCCGGTGTCTGCCATCTTGGTTTACATACTTCGGGAGTACCGAAATTTTAGCTTACAATTACTGCAGTGTGTCATACTCTGTCCCAAGCTACTACTGAACTAGTCTCTCACTCAGACTTTTTCTTTTCGAAAGTATCATATTCCTTTTTGATGTACCCAGATATCTGTTGGATATGTTTATTTTACATACAATTTAAACCTGCTATTCCTGGGCTATAATCTAATGATTTATAATTTTCATTACTTTATATCATTCTTGGGTATGAAAATATTTTGTCCTATTTCAGTGCCATCAGGGGATCGCATCAACTTCAATCTCAATTTAATACATCTTTAACAAGAAGGCTCGGAATTTTCTATGAAAAAATTCAATTTGATTTTAAATTATTGTAAGTACATGATTTCAAAACTATGTCGTTCAATAACTTTCATGCAGTTTCCTTTTCTGCCTGTACAACTCTAGCAAACAATACTATTTTATACATTCAATATTGTAAATCCAACTTGTTTAAACTTTAAAGTGATTTGATTTTAGCTTTTGATAGTTATTTGTTTGAAAACATTATATAAAAAATCATAAATCAAATTTAAAGAAATCATCTTAATATTTCAACGTTTTTTTTTATAGATATGGTGTGACTGATAATTTATTACTGTGGTGTGACTGATAATTTATTACTGCTTTTCAAAACTTGTTTTTGAGTTCACATTCTTATTAGGATATTTTAAAGTTGTGATGCTTTTATTGTTATATTCAATCAAAATTTGCACGTTTTGTATAAAATGATCGCCTATAAACTGGACTCGCTCCTGGATCTTCGTTTGACGATTTTTAATCTTTTCAGTACCAAACCGTTATGTAGGCGTGGTCTCTAAACAATGTTTTTTGTTTCAAATCTTATAAAAAAAAACGCCCAAGTAAAGGCAGTGTCAAGCAGTTTATCTAGAACTGGATGAAATGACGATTCAATTTTTTCGAATTGACTAAAATCATTCATTCATATTAATTTGTCTTGGTTTTTTCGTGCCATTTTAATTCAACATTACGCATGCAATACTCCGGAACCCATCAAAGTCCTCATTTCAACCTTTGACCACCACGGTTGGCAGGTGATCCATTGTTCTTACTTTTTTCACTAATAAAAACTTTTGTATTTCAGAACGGAGTGGTTGAAGTTGTGGTTCCTAACAACGTATCTGAAAATTGTTCGATTTGTGACTGCAAGAGAGGAATTATCTGACGTTATTAAGGAGCTAGAGTTGTTATAATAGTCAAAGAAAACTAAATTATGGAAAATTATTTTTATTTGCCATTGTTATTATGCATATAGCTTGTAATACCCAATCTTGCCCACATGGAGACCGAACTCTTTTCAAACCCGCAACATATTTGCCCAATTAGATACTGATCCGAATGGGTTGTTAAGAAAATACAACTTTATTAACATTAAATTACGACAGGCATTCATATTTCATCAATGCCACCCAAGATACACCATCTTCTCTTTGTGTATATAAACGATAATAACGTGGTACAATGTCTCTTATAGCCAATTTTCTCTCTCCTCAATTTAAACAGATTGGTCAGTTTTAGACCGCGAGTGATTAAAAAGTAATGATTATAGAAAATGGATTAATATTTTATTATAAAAAGACCAGCGAGTGCTTTGCGAAGCACAGTGTACAAACCATTGATGCCTGACAATACCAAGATTGATGAAACAGGCAACAGTAGCAAGCAGTGTTTGCCTGTGTGTGACTTCACTATAAGCAGCATCTGACTTGAAAATATATTTGTCTTCAAGTTCAGCATCAATGAAACTACGTTTCTTGGGTATTGTTTGCTCAAATTTGAATCTTATATATATATCCATTTTTATTGACAAAGCTATATTTTGATGGTATCACTTGTTCTATTATTTAAGACATTCTTCAAGGAATAGAAGCATAAAACATTTTCAATAAAATTTACTAAGGAAGACGAAATAGTGGAATACCCGTTGGGTAAATGTTAATGCGCTGTAGGCGACATTATTGAACACTGTATGACAAAATGTTGTATGCGTTTTTATTATTATTTATCAGCCACAAATCAGCAGCACCTAACCGACCAGACTCAGGCTAGCGCAGCCAGCCTCGCAAACCTTCGTCCATTTTGGTAATTGTATTTTTTGCAACATGGCGAGGGCTTATCTATGCCAAATGAAGCCATTCAAATATGTGGTTCACGATGACGAGTCGTATTTTCGAACACCTGCGCGACTTAATCAAAAATTTTGAATTTTACCGAGTCTGGAGAAGAAGTGGGGGTTTCCCAATTCTTTAATGATAATGATCGATGTCAAAATTTACAACGAAAACTCAAAGAGCATAATATGTTTATTTGATTCCAGTATCTCAGTAGACAGTTTGAGGAGGCATGCATTAGAGGTGTACCGATACCAGGTATATATATATTACCTCAAGTTTGCATGACAGACGGGTTAAAAACATTTGAGCAATAATTTTAGTGCACATTTCAGATTGAAAAAGGGATTGATGTTTGGGATTTAGATGCATTGTGTACTGACGCCAGTAGTCTCGGTGTTCAATTAGAAAACTCATAGGGTTTAGCTCAGTGGTTCTCAGCCTTTTTCAGTTCGCAGACCGATAAAATTTTAAAACAAATTTTGCGGACCTCCAGAATTAACCAAAAATGTCATGAAATGTCAATTACGACAAAAGTAGGCGGTGCAAAAAAAGACAATTTAATGAGAAATTTGCTGCTGTGTTTTTGATGTTATACGTGTTAAACCCGGTTCTAATGGAGTTTCTGCAAGGCGAAATATAGCATTGAATTCCACGCGATTTCGGTAGCTTTGCAGGTCTCATTGCGTCGTTTGAATGAATGTGGCGCAGACTAGGCACATGGGAAGCGGGAGCAATAGTAAAACCTAGCTCCGAAAACTTCTTATCATACTGCCTAATAAAGTCTCCCTTCCGTTTTCTGCGTGGTATATATCAACATTTATGCAAGGTCGTTTCGGGGCATGTTGTAAAGTTGAAGTAGCAGTCTCTTCCTCAGTCCTGTGAACACCACCAACTAGGTTTCACTGCTGGGTTTCTTTTGAAATAACTGGGTAATACTTTGTTTGTTTGCCACCATTTTACTCTCAAACCTCGCTCAATTATGTCCCTGCTGTCAAATTACGGAACGTTCGAACTGCGAAGTTCTCAATCGATTACCGTACTGTGTGCTATCAGAGTCAAACTCCTCCGGTATGAAATTAGCTGTCCTTATGAGGCCATAGATTTTGGCTAATAGGTTAACAACAGGCCAGAATTCTGTTCCCGTTTCTACTCACGGGAGCGAGGACGTGCATGGATCATAGTTCACGATCTATCCAGGGGGAAAACAATTTCAACATTATCATTAGTATTCTAACTTTTTTTTTTAATAATTAAATCATTCTGGACCATAATAAAAGCTACATATATCGGAAATATTGATCTACATTTAGCCGAACCGTTACACTACCGATATCGAAAATTTGATCGATATTGCCGATACCGATACATCTCTAGCATGCATACGCAAAACATTCTTTTTATCAAAGTTTGGTTTGCTTGAACTGGAATCGGCAAAATTTTCATTATCCTGGGAATGGCAGCCTTAGTCTGAATTAAATGTTTTGACAAAGTTCCTGAAGTGAAGTCTTTGTTAACCAGAAGCCGGATTCGTATTATATAGGTGGCCAAGTTTCGATCGGTGATGAGGAACAAATTAATTTGTTTTGTATGTGCAGGAAAGAATGTTTGAGCATGTTCGGTATTGGGAAAATAGACTAACCCAGTGGTTCCCAAACTTTTTGTACCGTCGCCCCCCTAAAGTAGTTTATACAACTTCATCGCCCCCCAACACTACAAAAAAATGTTAAGCCAGGAACGAATATATTACAGACCAAATAAGAAGACAACTCATAGTTTACAATGTTTAATGAGATGGATGAGCTCGGTGTTCTTCAGCGAGTTTATTATTATATCTAAAATTACCCCGTTTACTTGGTGTTCTTCAGCGAGTTTATTATTATATCTAAAATTACCCCGTTTATAATTGTTCGCACAAATATGTAGCCTACTTCCATTGCACTATTGAACCCCTGCACTCAGCATCAACTTTTCTGCGTGTTTCCATTTGTCTAATTAAAATTGGTGCTCCCGAAGTATGCGAACCAAGATGGCGGACATCGGAACGTAACATGGGTAACAGGTTAGGGTTAGGCGATAATTTTTTTCCAATTTTCCTTATTTTAGTCCTATTATCAGTTCGAAGACTAGCCAAGAGCCTCCCGTAGTATTTATACCTAAAATTATGGCCTAACCCTAACCTAGTATGTCCGCCATCTTGGTTCGCACACTTCGGGAGCCCCTTAAAATTAAATTCGAGTAGCTGTTCAGTAGAATTTTTAGGATATAATGAAATTTAGTCTAAACGTGTCTCACGATAAATTCTGTTACGTAAAAAAATGTAATTTACTCCTTGCTTAGATTATAAATAAAATTCTTAGCCAAAACCGCCGCTTGGGTGTTTCGCCGGGCATAGACTTCCTTGTTTACTTCGTGACATTGGTCAATCAGCAAGATGCAAAAATAAACGTAACAATGCCCCCTTTCGCATTCGCTCAGACATAAATCAAACAAGTCAATGATAACTTAGTCTTCCTAGGAGTCTCAGTTTAATTACAGTAATCAAAAATTAGTATAGAAATAGCTGTGATAGACTAGGCTAAAATTCTTTACCGGTACTATTAAAAAACAAATTGTTGAATGGTTTCAATTAGAAGAGATAGGCGGATAAAATGTATTTACGTAGACATACTTTACTTCGGCCGTTATTTTACTCTGGCCGTGTTTGCCGACCACTGGGATACGCAAACTGCCGTGCCTTACTGCGAAGACGAGTCCAGCAATTCTTTCGCGTATGATAATCGCCCACGGGATTCAAACATATACGGAAGCGCGCAGAGTACAGTGATCAAGTGCATGATGCGCCGAACAAAAACAGGTTTCGCGAAATCGCCCCCTTCGACTTTTTCGCCCCCCTCTGTATCGTTTTTTCCCACCGGGGGGCGATATCGCCCACTTTGGGAATCACTGGACTAACCGATGTGGCCAATCGTGTTCAGGGAGCTTGTCAAATGTAAACGTTTTAATTATAACCCGTGACAAACTGAAAAATAAAGTATATGGATTTCAACCGGCTGTGTGTGAAAAAACCTGTATAGATGTAGAACGTAATGAATATAGTCGCAGAAAAAAAATTTCAAGATAAATTGAGTGAGTGACTTTACCTTGAGCACATCTAATAAATGATGATCAAGGAAAGAAACAAAGCTCAGATAGATTGTTTCACAGGCTTGCCTCGGGCCCAAGTTCCACGAACATTCATTTAAATGCATTATGCAACTTATCATTGTACAATTGTGTGCAGTTATGTTTCACAAAAGACATAATCATTCTTACCGTTCAATTACCTTAATACTGACAAGAAAAGCGAGAAATTTGATTTGTACGGTTGGCGTGTTTATTAAATAATTTACACGCTCAAGATTTCGACGCGCTGTTGCGGAAACAGGTAAACTGAATTAGGGAACCCCACCCCGTGAAGGATCGTTCCATGGCTTAATCAAGCGTAAACCTTATATGATATTCTCAACCTTAACTGTAATCGGTGAGACACAACAAAATGTGATAGTAAATAATATTCTTAGTATATATATATCTAATTACACTTATGAGCAGTTTTGCCATGTGTAACGGCATCAGATGACGTGAACATCCTAAAAAAATAGTTTGAAATGTGCATGTTAATGTGAAATGTTAATACAAATTGGAATAGTCTATACCAGTATACAATTAAATTCTAACAACACTCGTTAAACTTAAAGCCATTGCCTTTCCGCCACATGTTTACAGTCAAATTGACTTCTCTTCTTCTTCTGAATGAAGTCCGGAAAAAATCTTTGTTACCATCGTTCGAACGACAGGCTTAATTGAATCTTACATTGATTTGTCAACTAATTCTTTTGAGCAATTTACTGATTGGGCCCGCTATTAGCACGGAACCTGTATACTCTTGAACTGAAGATATATAAGTCGCTACATAACCAGACATGGCATTTTATAGAGTCTGTATTGAAACGAGAATTTTCCAGTTACCGTGCTTGGCGACAGACATATTAGCCCAATCGTATCCGCGAAAATCAATTTATCGCTTTTTTCTCGGGGGACATTTTACAACGTTTTTATTATTTTACATACACCGTATAAGACAGAAGTCTTGTACTTAAATTAAACGGCGCCATATTGTGACAAAGGCTTAATCAGGCTAATGAAAAGCATCATCGACTAAAACAAACTCATCTTACACTCGGCTAAAATTAAATGAAAGACGTTTTATTATGTGATAGGATCTGTTTGGTACTACGCTCGCTGGAGTTTCTCACATATTTAGGTTTCATGAAGGACCTGTTTACACAGAAAAAAGGGCAATGTCTTGGCATTTGCTAGAAAAGGTTTTGGATTCTATCGCAAAACAAGCAACAGTTGTTGGTAAATTGTGGATTACCTTTGCTATTTATGTTCAGAATTATCTCATTGACGAGAATGGCAGAAAATTTATACTCGGATGAACAAGGTGCTTTCAAGTGAGGCGAATATATTTTTATTTATATTTTTATATTTAGCATATATAGTTTATGTACAAACTTCGACTCCAGTATTTAATTTTGCTCTTCCGATTCCTAGATGCAGGGTGTAACTTAAAACTTCTTTTTAATTAATTCACTAAAGTTACAACGGATAATTATATCTTTTTTCTAGCTAAATATGGTATGGCAAAATTAAGTTAATAAAATAACGCCGAAAATATATTCCCACAGTACAGAGGTTACGAAATGCTTCCCACTGATCACAAATTTTGCAGAAACATCTCAGATGTTATTAAACATGATTTACACAATTTATCTTTCTTTCATGTTTTTGGGTATACTTGAATTTTCAACTATAATCTTTTCAGTCCAGGCCCCAAAGTGAGACAGCTCACGACGACAACATGCCAATCATGATAGCAACAATTATTAATTAATATCTCAATTTTCTATTCAGATGTAATACCAGGCAGCCAGGGTGTGAGAATATGTGCTTCAATCAGTTTTCGCCGATTTCACACGTCAGATTCTGGGGGTTTCAAGTAAGCAACTAAAATAGATATTTTCTTTACAAATTATTGGCAATCGTTACAAATTAATTCGACGCTACGTTTAGACTGAAAGACCCATGCTTTCTGGGTCGTATAGAATTCTTATGTTGTTTTGCTTCGTGCTGTTTTGTGAAGTTGAATTTGGCGGTTATAGGTCTATTTGTAAGTCACATAGTTGTTACAAAATATTGTTTTCTATTTTTAGACTATCATCACAGCAACGCCTTCGATAGTGTTTGTGGTATATGCTGTACATGCCGTATCAAAACTTCCGATTCCGAAAAAGTTTAGGAAAAAAGATATGAAAGAACGAAGAAGATCTATAAGTATTTATCTAATCTAATTTATTTTATTGAAATTTCCAATTAATATATATGCAAAATTACCGATAAATTTTTATATGGTATTCTGTTCATCATTTTCTAACAGATCGTCTCTGTGTATACATTGTCACAATACCTGCACAGTGAATTCGGAATTTTTCCATTCTGATTATATACAACAAATTTAATCAAAGGCGTTGTCTACCACAAGAAAGTTTTTCCCATTAGAAAGGGTCTAACGCATGAGCATGCGATAGGCTATCTTGCTAAAGTATGTGATAAGATACGCTTCAACATAATAGCAGCAATATACAGGATGGCAAGCCAAAATGAACGATTTTGTTCAAGCCGATAATATATTGTGAGGCTGCACAAAGTTTTCTAAAATCTATTGCAAATATCACTGTTTAGTTTATATAAAAATCATATTAGATAATATATAATCAGCTGTTAATTAATAGATAATCATTAACTTTGTATTAATTCATTTTTCAGAACGTTGCAGTCATGGAATATTACTCATTTCACCACTGCATCCGTACGGCAAGCCGACAAAAGGGAGCAAGGTTGAAAAATATCAAACCGATAGTGAGACTGGAGCATCGAAGTTCAAATTAGAGGTACAAATTCTTACTATCTATATCTGATGCGCAGCAGGTGAGCATCAGAGGCAAACTTAGAATGCAAGATTATTTTGTGCACCGCCACTGATATTAAAAAAGATCAACACAAAATACAACAGCGTAAAAACTTCTATCGTGTTACCGACCAAGATAATTTGTTGAAACATATTACCATAAAAATAGTGTTGATCAACATTTTAATTGCCAAAACGTGGTATTTTGGATTGATCTCCTATCTGACCTATTCCCATGTGGCACAATATTCTATATCTTAAATAAAATAAATAAATAAATAAGGCATTAAATTAAATTTCAAAAGGTCTAAAAAAACTCTGATAAAGTATAAAAAAAATTATGACGCCGTTCGTTCCAACATTTTAACTGCAGTTCCGACTCCGGATTCGCAAAAAAATTATCTCCGATTCCAAAACCGGTTTCATAAATATTGTTTCGCCACTTCTCTTTTCCACACGAAACAAAATTTTGACAAAAAAGTTCGACATCTTATTCTGTTTAATATGAAATTTTCTACTTCTATATGGAAAGTCGAATTGCATGGAGTTCTTAAATGCGAATAGTCAAAAACATTCCGTAATTAAATTTATCGTTGAATTTAGTATCCGCCGTTGGAAACAATCTCATGTAGAAATTCATTTGAAGAAACTTCTGATCATTTTGGCAAGATAAAGAAAGAGAATCCAATGACAGAATCAATGATCGACATGGAAAAATCGCTACAAAAAACTCTCCCGTCACCAAAAATTATAAAAAGTTCATCGCAGCAGAGTCACAGTGAACTTTTGGACCTAATTGATCGAATGGAAGGTCGTCTAACGAACGCATACAAAATGCAATGTCTTGGGAGAACTTTTTTAGAAACTTGTTTCCTGACTATCCAATGCATTGCGTTTGGATTTGAGGTCCCCGAGAAATATCGATGTGCTACTTATCCATGTCCAAATACGGTAAGCATGACAACCAATTTATCCCAAGTATGAAATACTTTCTTATTTTAGACTCTACATTTACAGCTTTCAGTTTTGAAAAATTTTGATCATCTTGTAAAATCACTTGCTACACAGGTCGACTGTTTTACATCTCGTCCTGGTGAGAAGTCGTCCATGTTGATTTACATGTTTTTCGTTACAATACTATGCATCGTTCTGAGTTTGTTTGAAATGTATGAATTGTCTGAACGAAATTCTTGCGTAAAGGGGAAGCAGATAGCAGGCAAGTAAGCTTATTTCAATTTTTGAGAACTTGTTGGAAAAACTAATTTAAATTCTATGAAATATTTGTTACGCTTCTTCGGTTGAAATGAGAGTCAATTTCTAAACTTATGGTGGACAATTGGAAAGCCGATAATTTCAGTAAAAGTATTTACTACAAGGGGAAGTGGCAAATGATATATCACTCGAATCAGTTTGCAGCAAGAGTCTATTAAACATTTTCCAAATGTACATTCCCATGGATATAGGCAAAGTTCATCCGCCAAATGTTTTTCGTATTTTAAACTATTTTGACATTAACAAATTAATAAATTGTCACGTATTTGTCAAATGTGTATATTTCACATAATCGAATACGCCAGCGGTTTCAATAAACTACATGAAATATAAACTAGTAGCCAGATATTCTCTGCGTTATAGTGAGGATAAGAGAGCGATTGTGCTGTGGCGTCAAAGAAGAATTTGCCGAAGATTTGGAATGGCATGAGGATGAACAAGCAGCAAAAGAGTAATTCCACATATTATCAAATAAATATACAGCTATTCACCAGTTCTAGGAATAATTAACCAAAAATCTTTCCTGTGATTTATTGTCACTGTTTGGTCAAATTGGCCAAAAGATTGCATTTCCTCTCATGACAGCTACTACTTATAAGTTTCCGTCAAAAACTCTGCTTCAACTATTTATCTTAGAGTAATTTCTCAAACATTCAGTTATTGCCAATAACTCAATCATTCATAAAATTATGGTCTCCATCAAGTGTACATGTGATTTGCCAAACAAATCTGTACAGGGCATTATCTAAACTAAAGCGTTCAACATTCCAGGTGGTATTTTGTTGATAATTTACTTGATCAATCAGTATGTTCTGGAGAGTCTTCCGAATCTTCTTCCAGTGATGAAGATAATAATTCTATAGACAGCCGAGAACTAGATGAAATGTACGAACAAGAATTCGAAATGGATACAAATGATTACGAAGCAAATGATCAGGATGATTTTTGAAATAATATTAGAATATATATATATCTTTATTATGTACTCTGCTTATTTTATAAACGTTTTATTTTATTTCAATGCTTATGAAAACAATATTCCAGTTACTGTCAACATGGCCGTCGATAAAAGTAACTCAGTTCTACAAATCTATAAGATTTCAAATGCTGCTGTTTTATATGTGTTTTATTTTTTTTTTATTGCACAGTTTGAACTAAAAATAAGTTAGAAATCAAGTATGCGGTGGCCTGAACTAAACTTCGAAATCACGAAGCAACATAACTAAAAATATTAACACTAAAGGGTTTTATATCATTAAGCGAAATGTATCAAATGGTTTTATCCGCTCATATGCTAATAGAATAATCAAATTACTCTGTATCAAATATACAGTAGCTTCAGCCATGACCTTCTATTACCACCGTTTTGTCCAAATTTGTCCGTCTCCCTTTTCCCAAGTGATTTAGTCAGTCGCTAATATATCGATTTAAAACGATGTGTTGACAAGTCTTTGGTATGTATAGTAGTTGCGCCAGCATATTGCAAAAAGACTCGTGACAAAGTTGTACACAGTTGGTCTGTACATGCAATAGAGATGCCTGAAAATGTCTAGCTTCAGTCCCTATACTTTACTACAGATTATCCAAAAGTTAGAGGAATCACATATCATAATATAACGAAACACAAATTAGTATAAGTAGTCAGAAGAAGTATTTATTAGTCGAGCTCGAGAACACATAGAGTTTAAAACCACGAGTGAATTTTGAAAGCTGTTTTTGCTTCAAAGCCAAGCGTTGGATAAATTCACATTGGGTTGAAAAAATTTAGAAATATTTGGAATTATATATATGTATAACAGCCTATTTTGGTTACGGCAAAGCACAAACCGTACTGCAGGATAATAGTAATAACGCCATCAATACAAACTTGTCAGTTGTTATAAATCAGATTGCTCAAGTTTTACTTATATAGTGGGGCCGCTATATTGGGAAATACTTAAGCCATACAATGAAAATATCTATTGCAGTGATATATGATGTAGTATACGTTCGTATTTCCCCTTTCATTCTTTTTTTTTATTCTATATCCCGCCAGTGAGTCTATTTTCAAACTTGGAATTTAGTTATAGCTTAGTATGAATGGTCTCAGTTTCAGGTATAGAATTGTCTATTCAGCTATGCTTTCACGTTCTTACTTTATCTGCTTACTTGAAATTTAGAATTGGTCGAAGAAATATGGTAAAAGCCAATATTTCAAATTCAGTGTACAACTTATATACATGATTATTGACAAGTACTAGGCCAAAACATTACGTCTGGTAGAAATTTTTATTGCGGTCAGGCCATTAATTAAGAAGCTATGAAATAAAATTCCACGTAGATCATGACTATACCATAGTCAACTTCGTCAAGCAAAAAGCAATCGGAAAAGTGATATAATCCAATTTTCAACATAGTTATATTTAGTAATTAGGGTTCTTATAATGATATGGTATGGATTATTAAAATGAACGTAATACATAACGTAATTAAGATGAAGGCCCCAAATAATAAATAATTAGCATCGGATACCATATCAGCATTGAACCATATTGATTTTAATAACATTTTTAAATACGAAATTGCTCTCACATTCTAACGAAGTGTAATCTTAGGAATTAGTCAAACGAGGTGGATTATAGAACGCGAGACTTTTCTCGTGCTATGAAGTGGGCACTCAAAGTCATCAGCGTTCTGTTGAGTTGCAAGAAATAGCGGCAGGGAAATGTCTTTTATGTGGATATTGTGCCAAGCTGACACGAAATCAGTCAAGCTATTCATTTCCCAGTGTAATGTAAGGTAAATATTAATCGTGTATACTTCATCCTATGATTTTTCAAATGTTGAACTGCACTATGGCATTTTTTTCTACATATGCAACGGCACATATGCAACTACTACTACCAGTGGTTCTGCCCTCCGTTGAGCATATCACTCTTAGCTAAAGTGTGATAAAGTATTTACGGTACGTGCTTGGCAAGTTGTTGATTGAAGATATTTATAAATATTCTCAATGCCAAAGTCAATATTATGGGATTGATAATTTCTAGTAAGCGTCCTCATGATAAATCAATTTATGTTTGCTCATCAAGAAGTAGCTAGTACTTTAATTTAATAACTCGAAGAATGACTCGAAGAATGATAGCAGCTGATCACCCAATTCAATCAATAGATTTTCTTTATCGACCATTATTTTATTGATATATGTTCTGTGGAATATCATAAAGTATAAAAAATGGACAGTTTTGATTCATATATGCGATTCATTAGATAGACGAACCATTAGGGTATTTTGCATTACAACTTACAACAGATTAACTCTTTGTTTATAAATTAAATTTTCAAAATTACATGGACGCCTCACTACTTATGAGATCGAGATTAATCAATTAAAATAGTATTTGCAATAACATGTTAGTAATAAAACAGCAATTTGCTGTTGATCAGTTAGAAAGAAGATCACAACAGCGTCAGATTCAAATCATACAAACGTGTTTGAAAATCTCAGTGTGCGAACTATTCGAATTTTCTCCTACATTTTGAACCACGATCTATATTCATTTTGAGATAAATCATTATCAATACTTTGCTAAGTTTACAGCGCAGTTACCTTCCAAACAAATGCGTCCTGTAATCACAGAGAGTAATGGATAACAATCGTCATTATTCATATGTGAAAAATCGGCATAGTTACCCCTCTTTCTCTACTTTTGTATACACAAGTCTTATCGTAATGATAATCGAAAGGAATGTACTACGTACCTTGTTTTGACTATGTTTAGCAACATGAGCCTTGAACAGACAGTAAACCGACTACTTTTGTTAATTCACAACAAAGGATTCGAACACTTCATTGCTGGAAAATCCCATGATATGGCTGCTTGAGCCAGATGAATTGCCTCTTGAAAACCTACGCATATATACGCCATATGTTGTCAGACATAAATGTGAAGTCATTGTGTTGCGCGCTAAAATACCAATATGATAGCTGAATCAACAATGCCAACTTGATACTAAGGACTTATTTTCTAGAGGGAATTGATCGCGAAGCTAAATGTTTTCGAGGAATTTTAGAGTTATAGACTAAGGTGATATCAATAAGTAAGACAAATACCGCTGCATTGATCATCTGAAAATTATATAAATTCTATTAATATTATAAATGTTTAAATATTTTCGCAGAAATTGTGAAGTTTTGTGTCATCATATTCGCATTGCCCTAATAATTTATCATTTGAGGAAAATTTCCCAATATCAAAAGTGCAATATATTTAGAAAACTTAATTAACCATTATCTGAACTATTAATAGAATAACGCAACGTGGGCACTGCTACTAATTGTATTTCAATAGTAAGTTATATATAAGAAGGAAAAATTATCCAATTACATACATATCAATGTCCATGTGCATATTGTCTGCCAAATGATTATTTATGGAAGGGATTTACCACTTTCGGATACAATGAAATAAGTCGGGATTTACAGTAGATTCCTGTTAGCGGTACTGCTTCAACTCGCCGTGGGTGGACTTAACGACCCCATTAGTACGAATGTGGCAATAGTTTGCCATAGAAGGTTACATATCGAGATAAATCTGCATGTTAAGATCGACTGATACTACACGGGTAAGCGTATGATGCAGCAAAGATAGATACCCTTAAAAACAGGCGGGAAAAAATATATGATATTTATTTAATCTTGAACATTTTTTTGAACAATTTATACGACTTGCTCATGAATTATCCGACAATTATATTAAGTATTTCATAACTAAGATAGCCCAGTTCCAAAGCCGTCCTCCAGATACAGAGACATCGTGTTGGGATGTATTCCCTGGAGTAAAATTAAACACAAATAAGCATGTTCTTTATGGACGTATTGAACAGTGTTTAGTCGTTACCCGTTATTAAAGTTTTAGCTTTTAAGAGCAGTCGAGTGTGAGTTTTATACAATATTATAAATAGTAAACATATTTACAACGATCTGGCAACCTAATATTGAGTCGTCACAATTACCAAATTCACACATGAACAATGTATATTATGTATCACGTTTTATAAAAATAAATGAGAAACAACGGTAAAATGTACAGATTCGACTATCATATATTTCTTATAAAAATAAATGAGAAACAACGGTAAAATGTACAGATTCGACTATCATATATTTCTTATGACATGTACATAATTCCATTCTCTTTAACACATGGTTTTTTTTATGGTTTCTAGGATATCACTGATTATGTACAGCAGCTTGGTTCCGACGATCGCAATATTTACGCCATAAATATGTGTAAACATAGTTGAAGAGCTCAGGTGTAGTCTTTGAAAGGAATACGTAGAGGTTTTTACTCGCTTTAAAGTATTTACCGATAACAAAACAATCAACCACATATGGGTCGCGTTTGATTTACTCCCCAAACTATCAATGGAACAAATATGATACATAGTTCGTGGAAAAGTAGTCGTCATTGACATTTTCAGGGTTCCGTATATTACGGATCGACGCATTTCACGCGTGTTGTTATTTCTTATTCAGGCGTAAGAAATTATGTATTGAATGTTGAATATGTCTAAAAAAACAATTCCACAGTTTTGTGCCATATGCCACAGAGAAAAGCAACCATCGAATGGGCTTTCGAGAGCATATAGCACGCCACTATTTGAAAAAACAACGCCTTCCGGAATATCCCTACGTCACAAGTACGGAAACCTTCCGTCGAAGAAAAATGACGATTTTTTTACCCAGGTAAGCGCGCTTAAGCATTTTTTATGTTTTTTTTTTATATCAAGTCACTCTTGGATTCTCTTCCAAAGCAATGCCATTTTAGACATGACACGGTGTCATTTTTGAAATATACTTAAATCTTGCTTGTATCTGAATAATATCTTTGTGAATTAGTAATTTCCCCCAAAAAAGTTACTGTATAACGTTGTGTTCAGGTAACTGAGCCTCAGTGGTTGAGACGCGGTAATTTGAAAGAGTCAGATTGTGTATGCAAACGTCACCTGGCAATATTAATGAGAGGGGTTGATAGAGGGTGTGAGGGAGGATGCAGTTCACCTCTACATCGAGGGGCAAGACTATGTAAATCAGAAAGCTTGAAAACAATTCCACCAACATGGCGACGACTTTTTATGCGCCACCCTCAAATAAAGGTTGGTACTTGAGTTTGTTATTAGGCGCACATTGCATTAAAAAATTTGCTTAATTTATTGGTTTTTATGATTTTAAAGTGTCGGTTGCGATTATATGGAGAGTTACTGGCAACAATCGCAATGGTTAATTTTTACAATTAACAAGTGAAAAAGATTTGATTGTCATAAACGGTTACGACAGTGAAGCAACCTACGCATATTTGTTTTCAGGACGAGGACAAAGAGCTTATGTTATTTTGTTGGGATTGTTATAAAAAACACATGAGTCGTATGTCAAGATATGGTGACCCAATGGGTACACGTTTTGGGAAGAAAGTGGGTCTTCAACGATCAAACTCCTTAATCGATGGAGATGTGAATGGAAACGGTATCTTGCAGTCTATGAAAAAGTATAAATCAATGGAAAGGCTAGACTACAATTCCGTATCTATAAGTTGTACATCCACTGCATATACAACTGGTGCACACTCGAGACGTAAATCGTCAAGTTCTGTGTCGCAGGGAGACAAAGAAGATGCTGTGTTGGAAAATGACAAACTGCACGAATCTCAATTTATGTCATCAAGAAGGACAAATAGAGGAAGAAGATCTTTAAAAGGAAAGCGAAGTCCTTCGCCACCAAACAACATCAGTCCAGTCAGAACGAGTGTTGTTCACAGCAAGCGGAAACATTCGCCCCATAAAAGTCCAAAATCTCTGAGTGTAAGGTGTAGCAGTAATCTAACAACAACAAGCCATGAAGTAGAATCAAATGTGACGTCAGTGGAAACAACATCTCTATCTCGCTTAAGCGTCGACGATACAGAATTCGTCGATCTTAAAATTCCGGGTTTTGCCCCTGTATCTCCTGTAGATTTACCCGAAACAAAGAAACATTCAAGTGACGAAGCATTCGATGTGTTGAGTGGATCACGAGATTTCAAACCAAACTTGAATTTTACAGATTGTAAAGAAGAATCTCTGAAGCTGTCTGAACTTACCAGTACTTTGACCAATGCAGAGTTTCACAGAAGCTTGGGATCAAATTTTCTTCCAAACGAGCTTGAAAACACTTATTCAAACAAAATTTCACATAATGAATTTAACGCAAACCATGAAAATCCTGTTGTCGATGACACACAATCAGGTATTTTTTCAAATCAAACTGGTGAAAGCACAACAAGTGCTGATGAATTGGCAGGCATATTTTCTAACAGTACCATTATCGAAGATATCAATGGGCTACCCAATGGAATGAAACACTAATTGAACTTGAAACTGATACTTTGCATATTCCTTTGATAGATTCGATAATATTAGACCAGATATGCATTCATCTTCAGTGGATCACCAACACGAAAGCAGTGGTAGCAGCAGTGATAAAACTGGCGTAACTCAAATCGAAAATAAACTCTATGATCCCCCAACAATATCTTCGATTCTTTTCAATGAGAATGTTTCAATTACAGAACCAGTAGAGTTTATCGATTTTGAACGTGATTTTAAGAATCCAACAGAAATTAACACAGCCGAAACTACAGAACACCCGAAAAAATCAGATAAAAACAGAAGCCGTCGACATGGTCGTAGAAGATTCGTCCAACATGATAAAAACCGTTTTAGAATCTTCAATATCTGTTTCCCCTCCTAAAACAAAGGGCGGCGCATGTTTTCATACAGACAAAAACTCGATACTGAACAACAGCCTTTCGCCAAAAGCTTTTCGCAAATTAGCTGCGTCAACGCTCCAAATTTTGGAAAGTGTGGGACCGCCGAGACATCAAAGATCAAACCTATTTTTCCGTGATGACGTAAGTGAGCAAGAAAATCCTACACGTCTAAACGTTTTCATGAAAATCCCGAGGGATCTACATTTTAAAACACACATGTCCGATTTCATTCGCATTCCAGCAGAGAACGTGGAGATATTTTCAGATACCATGTCGTATTTGGATGGCATTACGAAAACAGTAGCAGGAGATGTGTCAATGCTTGCAAGCGGTATGTAAATATCCGATTATATTAACTATTAACCCAATAGTTTTTCAGTTTGTGATTCAGGATAAGGTATTTTCATCATGTTGTTACGTCGCAAAATCAGAACCGAGAAGTGATTTTTTCATTTCTGATGGATGCCAGACCATGATTATGACTTTTTATGAATCAAAATTGATTATAATATTGGGAGCTCCCGAAGTATGTGCACCAAGATGGCGCACAACCTGAACATAGTATGTGCAAGAGTATCTCGTGTTAGGGTTCAGGTTGTGCGCCAACATACTTACAAAACGGTTGAATTTGTAATTTGAATTGTGATTCGGATTCGTTTAGTTTAGATGATGTAGCTTGAGATTTTAACCGGCTCTTGATTTTATTGCCCTAGTATGTGTATAGTAAAATAAATATTATCCCATCCCATAAATATTCTAATATCATGTATCGGTTATTGCAGTACAAATACAACATTATGTCAGATTTTATCATAAAACATTAATTTCAATTACCCAAATTTGAAAAAAAGATAGCGAAGACATGTACATAATATGTTATATAGCACACAAATACGAGAGTTATTGACGCATAAAGCTTGGAACGTTATCAATTCACTCAACACTTAAGCTGTTTAATTATTTTATCACTTATGCAATTGCATGGCAACACGCTCTGATAACCCCAAAAGTCTTATCGTCGCCACTAAGTCATATATCGAGAGTTGTTTATTTATTATTTATATATGTATGCATAAATTGTGTTTTCTTTGGCTAAACAAATCAAATAACCTCTCTCACACACTCTCTTTCTTCAAATGATGCTTCGATCAGTTATTTTCCAATGCTCTCTATGCGTTTGATTCCAAGACTCATACTCTGGCACAACTCAGAAACATAGAGCTTTTACATAAGTTGGTTGGGCGTCTAGCTTGTTATTTTAAAATGATTAGAGGCGCTTGTCATGTTGATTTTATACATCTATAATTTATTGCTCATCTTCAGGCGAATTAAACATTCTGTCCGTCGATTTGAAACAAAAAGAAAATAGAACTGCACATCGAACGTTGGAGTACTCGGATGATCTACTAATATTACGTAGAGGACAGCCGTTTGATATAGAACTTGAATTGAGTCAAAACTTTGAAGAGAATCACCATAATATAGTGGTAGAATTATTAATTGGTATGTTTCATTTTTTCACTTTCCCAAAACTGTTACATTATTATATTTTGTTAATTTAAGTTTTTTTGAATTCGCAAAATTCTTACTTTACATAATGCCGATATCAGGATTAGATTGTAGGTTATACATTAAAACAAATTTGCAATAAAGAAAAAATGAAGATAATTTAAAACGTAAAATAAACATTTTTTTTCTATTGATGAACACTGTTCAGATAAAACACCAATTATCTACCACCATTTATTTTCGTTTTTCGAGGAATCAATATAGTTGGTTAACATTTTCAATAAACGTTGTTACAATATTTTCGATTTATCGCAGGTAACTCTCCGCGAGTCAGCAATTGTACCCATCTCTTTCTTCCCGTGAAACGTTCCAATATAATTAAATCAGAGCAATGCATCACATCAAACAGTGGTGGATGGTATACAAGGCTTGTGGAGAGTTGCGGAAAACTTGTAAAAATCGCCATTACGCCACCTTTTGTGTGTGCTATAGGATCTTACAGCCTATGTTTTCGGGTAAGTATATGGAAAAAAGTAGTGTGCTTTCTTTTAGGAAGATTATATCAGATATATAGAAGCCTACTCTTTAACTGGTGACTGTGTTTGTTACAGATTCAAAAAGACGACACTGAGTCTCGTTGGAACTGTGGGACGGAGAATTGCCAAAGTTTTAAAGTGCTGTTTAATCCGTGGTGTATTGATGATGCTGTGTTCATGAGTAGTCAGTCTGATCGGACTGAGTACGTTACAACTGACTCAGGATGCATATATTCCGGAAACGAATCCAGTTTGATTCCGATCCCATGTGTATTTGGACAGGTTTGTAATATCTGAATTTAAAATCTTCCTATAAAAAGTAGTTTCATAAAGCTATTCGGTTATTGTAATTACAGCACGAGATGGGTGTTTTAGAAGCCTGTATTGAATTGTTAGACTCTTGCAACCTACCCACTGCAAAGAAAGGTGATCCAGTTTCTGTGACAAGAGCTATTTGTCGACGAATTGCAAATATAATTAACACAACACCAACGAAAATGACACAATCCCATTACGGTGGCGTTTTCAATACTTTGCGCAATTTTATGAAGATTGGAATGTTAGATATTCCGGACAACCTAAATTCTACTGCTATATTGGTTACTGGTGTGTATTTTTATTGTTTAAATATCCAATGTTGGCCGGGGAAGTACCATAATTCCTCAGATCATAACCTAGGTAATTTTTTAGTGTTGCATCAAGGTTGATTGAATTGCAAGATTGATGTTCTGTAAGAATAGAAAATGTTGTGTAATATTCTTTACTGACGCATGCCCAAACATTACCACATTTGGGTAACGGATTTATAGGCATTATATTATGAAGCTTTTAATCTTTGTTCGCATGTTTAAAGATATGCTAATTGTCAACATTTTCAGTTTTCCGATGTCTTGGATTACCATCACGCTCAGTTACAGGGATCAATTGCGCAGTAGAAACTGATCTACCCATGACGGTTAATGTTCATTACAACGACGAAGGGTATTCATTGGATTATCTTAACAACGATAAAATTTGGTTAGTACAACTATTTTGATAGATATTAAATTAAATTTTTGATAGATATTAAATTAAGATATTAGCAAAAACCATCGAGCGCACAGATTCCGAATTTGAAGTCCTGATTATCTTATACTTGCACCTCCTCACTAGAAAGGTAATTTGAGAAATTGAAAAATCAACAATTGTCGTTCAGGCCAAGTGTATCCTGGGTTGGTGTGTGGATGAGCAGGGTAGATCTACCTCCAGGATTTGGCAAGCATATTATGTCCGTATATCGTATAAAGAAAGGCCAGACGTATTGTTGTGAAGGAACTCAAGAACATTTTTTACATTAAATGCTGACACGGTATGTCCATCAATAAAATATTTTTTACTAGAATATATATCAAACTTGAACTCGAATTCGTCTCATACCAAATTTGTCTTCAAATGTGCATATAACAGGGTTATTTACGGCACCACAGAGAAACGGAGTTACACAATGTTGCTTTAAGTCAAGTATTTTGCCTAGAACTACGATATAAATTTTTAACGCGCATATTCCAATATTCTATGTCGTTAGATAATTGATTCATTAATTAAAAATTAAATTAAGATAACTCTTTTGAGGTATGAATTTTTTTGTTAGCAATTTTTCCATCTTTGCCTAAACATAATCGAAACGCTGGTAATCATATAAATTACTATCTATTGATTGATCGAGAATCCCCTCGAGCAGCTCTTCGTAGCGTCTTCAGCTAAAATTATACATTGGCAGATGACATATTTTTTTCAGTTTTCTATATACTGCATCATTCGATAAATAATATGCTATCAATATGCACTATTAGTGATATTATTGTTAGTATGTTGTTTTTGCTCTATTGGTATACCTAGTTAGTATTGCCAGTTACAGTTCTGATGATTACTTCATCTAATTACCCACCCGCCCCACATTGACCAAGGTCAGCGAAAGGGTACTCCCGAAGTATGTGAACCAAGATGGCGGACACCGGAACGTAGTATGTAGGGGTGTAAGTTTTGAATATTTTTTTTCGAATCGAATTTCGAATCGCAATGTTCCGATTTGAATATTTCCGAATCTGATTCTATTTAGTATATCATCATATTATAGTTAACTTTCCTCAAATTTGGAAGAAATATAGTATAAATTTTGATGAAATAACAATACTGAGCTTGAAGAATTAAGAAAGTTACCAGAAAAACACACTGCATGGATGTATCAACTACCAAATATATTACGGCTAAGATTCATTTTTTTTACATAAAGTTATACTCAGTTACATATTTACTCACATACAATTATGTTTGCAAATAATACCGGATTTATAGCGATTGTTTCTTCTCAAATTGACCTTCAAAATTCATCCAAATTATAATCGCTAGTTAGTACCGTATGCGCCATGATTTTAAAAGAAGCAATGATAACGAGGCAAGCATCGCAGACATATACATGTTTTTAATAAGGTATGAAGCAATGATGTTTTATTATAATAATATTATGTAGATAATTTGAAAAAAACGTTCAAAATATTTGTGAAACTTTGTTACATTTTAAGTAGTCGAACAAAATTGGCGAAACTATTGTCCCTCGAAAGCTGCTACCAATAGGAAAATATTAGACTCTGGGAGTGTCACGGCTTTGGAAAGCCTGTAAACACAAGGATAATAAACGCTTTTAGTCGATATAACGGTAGCCGCTGCTGTGTCGTGCAGTTGCCTGTGGTATCTATTAAAAAAAATTTAAATAGAATCAAGCCTTTTTTCTTAAATGTTTTGAAATCGATTCGAATTGATGTTGATTGACCTTCCTACTAGGATGTGCATTATTCCACTTACTTCGGGAGTACCAGCGAAAAGAGCAAGTATTTGCTTTCCTTAATATAGAATAGTGATTCAAATGATGTTATTGTTATTTAATAATTTTAAAGAAACTTGGTTGTATCAAAAGAGGAAAACATGGCGCTTATGAAAATACACAACGTGCGGCTGGAATTGTCAATATTTACCCAAAGCAGTTGGAAGCATGGAACCACAGGAATATTTACCAAACTTTACAAATTTTCAGAAGGTGCATTTATTTGAAGACCATTTTCACGGTTAAAGAATTGAGTAAAAATTGAGGTTTTGTTAACGATTAGATGGTAACAGCTGAGTAAAACCTAATTTCATGAGGTTTTCAGACCCTTTCTCCAAAATAGTTCTAATTCCATTAATAGCAGCATAACGTAACGAGGTTTATTAAACATACAACTGATGTGGCTGTCCGTGACGTTAGCCTTAAGTTTTTCGCCTTCAAAGTTTTATAACCATACGCATTTAATTACAAAGGTTGTGAAGAGCAGAAACTTGCTATCATACAGCGTACATGCATTGTGGTCGACAAAATGTCATTGACGAAAGCGAAATGAAAAATGGAGACACAAAGATAACACTGTCAACAATCCTTCAGTGATTAATTTTGGAAATGATGTGGACGTAATTACAAAAATTACAAACAGCAGCGATTTTGTTCGTCACTTGACTGTGAATTTATGCGGAACAGTGGTAGCGGAAGATGGAACGCCAAATCATGAAATTACAAAAAGAAACGATATTAGCGGAAGTTCTCGCAAATGAAAGTAAGTTTCATCTCTAGTGTGATTTGACCAATTTGTGTTCACAAATTTACGAATCAATTGGCAAACACTAGCATTTGTGCCAAATTTTTCCACTAAAAATGATACACGCTGTATTACCTATAATTTCATTTCAGTAAAAATTGTTAACTGGAAACGTTGAATCCTAATTCAAGATTCTGATAGTCTTTTTAATTCCAGGTGTTGATATTCCAGTGAAATTTAACTTGGGTCCATATTTGCACAAATTATCTCCAAATTGTCACTTACTATTCACTGCATTCGGAAAAATACGCGAACTTGAAGAACAGTACAATATTGCCACACATTATGTGGGAATAAAATATCCGGAAATCGAGATTCAGGTAAATGGTAAATGTTTTTTCATATGTTGATCATGTACTGTAAAGCAATTCTAATGCACCGTTTTTGACGTGGGAAGCTCATAATCCTTTTAACACTGTGCTTATTTTGCGTTGAATAAATATGAATTGAATTTACATCAAGTGAATAAAACAAGCTTTACTTAGATACATGGAGAATTCAAAGTAGCTGGTGAGCTGACAATCGTATCTCGAATTCGGAATCCTCTGCCAAATCTACTGCTCAATTCAAAGCTTATTCTGACAACAAGTGGTTTAACTCCACTGCATATTGTTACAAACTCGGGTAAGACAATAAGATAGACAAGCGCCCTAAATCCAGCAGACCAGATAAAATTAAAAATATTTTACTATTCGGTTGTGAAAATGGCCAGTATAAAAGTTCCCATATAACACCAATCCATATTGAATCTCAATATTTTAAGTAATATTTCAGGATTTACTTCTGTGTAATTAACGAAGTTTTAATTGCGATCGAATACGGCTCCTTGTGCATAATTTTTTTTATTTTTTTATATTTCCTTGACATTTACAGAAAGTCTGTAGGACCATGGCAAGTGTTCAAAACAGAGAGATTATATCGGTGTCAAAGACCAGGGAAGCATACTATTGTTGCTTCGTTCACTTCTGATCGTATGACTGGATTGATGGGAATACAAGACATTAATATCGCATGCTGAAAAACGCGGGACAATATCAAAAATTGAGCCTACATGTTGACCAGTACAAATATGCGTGGTGAAGTACTTTTAAAAAATGAGATTCGCAGGAAGAGAATTTTATTATACGCTGGCATGGACTGAACAGAAAAGAGATATTTTGTCTTACGTACTAGAGTCTATCATTTATATTGTAGATTTTAAAGATTTTAACTTCAAGTTATAACACTATAATAAAAGACGTTAAGTTCATATACTGCGATGCTGCCGTATTTCCGAGAGTAACTTTTCGGACAATTCTTGGCATAATCGCTGCGCCCAATTTTGCCACTTCAAGTGATATCCTCGGCTCGTTTAAACTCAAGTAATTGTTTTTTCTGTTGTTGTGTGAATAGCGATTAGAAAGAGAAAAGTGAGGTCAGACCTTGGTTTTCCGATTTCATTTGAACGTCAAATATTCTGACAAAATATGGGTAATTTATTTATTCGTAAAAATGTTTTCAAAGGAAGTTCACGCGCACTCACTCAGAAGTATAGCATTTTCACCTCTTAGCAAGCCAAAGCCAGCTGACGCGATACTTGAACAGCAATATCAACAGACTATGATACAAGCACATCGCAGAAGGCCACTAGAAAGTCAAAAAAATCTACAAGATCTATTTTTATCTAGCAAATGTATCGCGCTATATCGTTGGGAATGTCAATATATACAGCCAAGGTCGGATTTAGAGTTCTATCCTTCATTTATCATTAGTCTAATCGGATGGGGGAGCCTGGTAAAATACGGTCAGCTTAATAATATCCGGCTTCATTCAACGTTCTCGCAATTGATATTTTATCGGTCACTTAGCTTCTAAACTTTCATTAGGTATTGGGCATGGCTTGTTCCTTGTAGGTTGTTGTTGGTGATTGATCCCAAACTGAAGTTAAATGAAACATTTTTACTCGGAACAGGGCTCTCTGTACAAATGCGATTTTGAAATTTCTCCATAAAAATTCTGCTCGTCCTATGACGTCATGTTTATATATTATGACATCAATTTCTGTATTGTGACATCACTTTTTTTAAACACAATAATAGTATTCCGTGAACGGCGTCAATCCGCGGAGAGTTGTAGTGGATCGTACACTCTTTTCGAACATTATTATGACAACACTCCTTAACTGCATTGCGTCACATTTGGGAGCTCCCGAAGTATGAACATAGTATTATATATGCGCATGTCATTTCGTTTCTTGCCACAGTTGTAAAATGCTTGTCTGAAATAGTCTGACCTCGGTCAGACGAAACGTTACATAAATACATTCGTGTTAGTGTGCAGCAAGACTCTTGAGCTGAATAGAATTGTCATTTTCACTCTTGCTATAGCATCCTTGCGTTTTCGCATACGGATCCACCAGCGCAAAGGCATATGGAGCAAGGAAAGGTAGTTAGTTTCACGTAACCCTAACTGTTAGTTATGAATATAGCCTACCTGGTGGCAATGCCAATCATGGGCTAGCGTCGCGCAGCAGAGTTTAACAATTATATATATATACGGACGATTGCAGAAAAATTACTTTTGCATCGTTGGTAATACGATACCTAGCGTTTAATTAATTTCACATACCATGAGAGCAATGTTGATATATATGGACACGACTGCCCCGCATCGATACCATTTTTATATATTTTTCGCTCATAAAAAGCATTGTTTGGAGCAAAAAGCACCGTATGAAAAAAATCACATAAAAAGGCGCATGTATATTTGAATTTGAGCATGTAGGGCTACTGGTGCAATATAACTATCCACTGTACTAGGGTTACCATATTGACCTCAAAGCGGGACGCTTCCAAAGACCATGGCTGTGTTTTTTTCAACTTTAAATTTACCGATTCTACATTAGGGGCCTACATTTGAAACCATCCCGGCTGTCTTCATTGACCATATTGTCACCGAGAGTAACTATACATCGGACATGTAACTATATATCGTTTTGCTCACACCGGTTGTGCTTTATTTATTATCAACTTGAATCAATTTACCTTAGGTAGGCCTACTATTTACTTTTAGTATATATATATATATATATTCCTATTCATAGGTAGTGCACTAATATCGCTATAATTAGTTTATTACTTGATTTCCCCTTGTTGTGATCTACTGTTACGAACTTTAGTCGGTGTTCATATCTGTATTTAATGAGCAGCAATTCAAACCAACATCCTCTTCTGACCATACAGATATAGGCTATTGTAAATTTCAAGACCTTTATCGTTGATTCAGAGTAATAACATTCTCATCTTGTAGGCTTCAGGTTAGGTTACTCAACAAGTTTTTTTCGAACGCACTTCCGAATAACTCAAACTGCTTATACATGCACCCGTCCAGTCCAAGTGTTTTGAATGCATCCGCCATTATGCTTTGTAAGTGCAAAGTAGGCTTACGAAGTTTTATACCCAACGGTTATTTTTCAGGGAAGTAAATTATACCCCACTGATCGACACCATTTTATAGTTCTCCGTGTGATTGTCAACTAAATATATAATCATGAGGCATCTTACTTCCCAAACATCCACACCAGCAATCAGCTCATGCAAGTATCCTATTAATATTTACTTGCATCTTTACATTCTGACAGAACGAGGGGAACTAGTCCGGCAGAATCGGGCCTTAACATTGTTTTGGGACATAAAGTTTTTTTTATTGTTTAGATATAATGTTTATGACATATATAATAATACCCAGGTGGGTGTGGAGTATATAATGTTGAGCAATTTTTTTTAAGTGGATTTAAAGTATTCGGGCCAATATGACGCACATCCTGAACCCTAACCTTGTAAACATACAATGTTCAGGTTGTGCGCCATCCTGGTACGAATACTTCAGGAGCGCCTTTTTGTTAAAAACAATTATTTCATAGCTACATGGTTTAGTTTTGTATACATAGTAACATTGAATCTCCTTACAATGTCAGAAATTCAATTTTAGTAGAATAAATGGTAGTTTATTTCACTAATACAAGCCAAGATCCATGGACAGCATCTAGCCACTTTCTATTGCGCTCTTCAAACTACATTTGCGTTGCCGCGCGCATTTCGTTTTCCTAGTTTAAGCTTAGGGACTTGGGAAATATTTTATTAGTTGAATTGGATTGGAATATTTGACCTCGTCTTACACTCCGAACAAGGCCATGTAAAACCATCCACTGGTATCTAAAGGTGTGTAACGTGTTTTCCTTTGGAAGAGCCGCAACGTTTCAGTGCTGCATTGACTTTGGCAAAATTAATATATCCTTGTGGAGATAGAAGGTATGCGTATGCGAAACCGAGATGTGCACCTGTTATGCCAACATAGTTGAGTCAAACGTTTTGAATACTAGTACATCACACACATTTTCAAATTCCACTTAATTATTGAGCTATAGGTTTTTGACGAGCTTTTGTGTATGATTTAAATCCATAGAATTTGTATGCTGTTCTAAAGAATACTAGTTTCAGCTTTTTCATTCATTCAAACCGCGTGTTGAAAGTAAGTTTTGTAATAATGCTTGTTGGTTTCCAACATCCTTATATCGGTGATGCCAGTAAATCTTTAATACAAAAAGATCAGTAACATCTGCAATAAAAACAGCAGTACCCACTCAAATGACAGCTGGGGGATGGATACTCTTAGTATCTGCTCCATCGCGTGCCTCTTACAGTCTTACCAGTTTACATGAGTGTCAATTGGTATCTAAGCTCAGCCTCAGACAAAAAGTTTCGGACTGCAGTTGGCGTGACGAAATGTTTTTAAATATATACATATTCTACAATAAGATTATTTGATTGCATACTACTGAAAGTTCCGCCTTATATGCCTTTTCCCATTGTACTATTCCTTTACTGATATTTGATAATATGACGCTCATCTGACATAGTTCTGAAAGTGTGTAGATGGGTATAATCTTTTCCACGCTGTTCAGATGGGAATGCGCGGATATATATAAGAATTGCTAATGTTGGTTTGCAATGCGATGAAATCCCATCTTGGCATTTCTGCCTCTCGCAATTGCTGCGTATACTTATCGGGGAAGTTCTGTGGCGTGGTAATCGAATGAAAAAAAAACATGGGAGTATTTTTTCTACTTCTCTACTACTATCAAACCTTGACATTTTGTGAAAACTTTTTTCCATGCAATCTTTTTTTAAAACATACCCAACAACCACAATTAATTCTGTTATTAAACTTCCGTAACAAACACATAAAATCATCAACAGATGCATATCGCCAAGTAGATATTGCTGAATTGATCTTACTTTTACCATTTTTCATGTAATTCTTTTTGGTAAACCTGTTATCTATCGTAAATACAACACATTTGACAATGTTGTAGTGTGACTATTTTGGCCTCACATTTTTGATATTTGTAGTTAGAGCTCTTGGGGCTCTGTCAAACAAAGTTACATACAAAATATTGGTTGTACATTGCAAAACATGATCATGTTGTTGGAATAACTTGGAATTTTACCACCCGTATATCATTCATTGTTGAGAATATTAATGAAATCATAAAATTTAAAAATCCTTTTTTGTGAAATTTTTGTTGTAGCTGAATTCCAGGGACAGCATGAAAACAGGCAAAAGAAGCACGGTCGCCTCTTTTAGTTTATGACAGGGTTTCTTAAAAGGGGACCCCGTCCTCCTTGGAGGCCGCTGATCGGTTATCTGGGAGCACGAACAAACAGATGGAAATGCGAATATATAATAACAATGTATTTTTATAGAAGAGAAGAAGCAAAAGTGTTGAGAGTCTTTGGTAGTTTGAAAAGCATTGGCATGGAACATAAGAATGAACTACATTCTTTCCCAGGGATATACCATAAAATGTAGCAATTTTCTAATTCTTGTTCTCGTGATATCATTATCTTTCACTGCGTCGTCGTGATCATCCCGCTGCATAACAGTTCTCGCTAACAAATAATTGACTGTTCTTCACCGGGTGTATATCCACTTGAACCACTGGCGACTGCATTAGCAGGCTTGTATTGTTTATTGCAACAAAAACGGGGATTTTGAAATAGTACTCTTTATTTTACGCGTATATTTCGACAGTATTTCCATATACTGTATATGGGTCGCGACCCAAAGCTGGGCTCAACAAATACCTAAAAGTTATTGATTTTATTTCCTAGTAAATTTGGTGTTTACGTAGTTTGTGCACCAAGATTGCGCACAACCTGAACATAGTATTGTAACAGGTTATGGTTCAGGTTCTGCGTCATTATGATGCACAGGTTTGACGAAAAACACTAATACAAATATCGAGCCGTGAAAAAAAAATTGCTCAAGGCTGCAAACTCCACACCCATGTAGAAATGATGGGCAATAA